TGGGGCATCACAGAGCTGGGGGTGAAGCAGGTGTGGATAGGCCAACAGCAAAGGTGGGCAGGGGAGGAGTACGAATCGCCACCAGGCACTCCGAGCATCTGTCTGTGGGTGTTCGTTCCTATTATTTCCTAAGCACCACTTTGTAACACTTGACTGCATTAAGCTCTCAACGAAGAAAATAAAATTTATTAAGAAGGCACAGGTATTTCACACCTAGGGCAGCTGATGTTGCTCTAAATTTACCAATAGCTCATTTTTGTTGTTGGATGGCTTGTAAATCTTTGACAGAAGCAAGTAAGTAAAAGGCTCCAGGCTGTAAGCTTTACCTTATTGGCAAAATGTCTATTATGCAGCTAAAAACATCTAGTTAATGGGCACTGCCCTTCAGCAATTGGTAACAACGGAATCCTAAGCAGTGATAATAATGACAGTATGTCTCTTTCATCACCCATGGACTCTTTTGTATGGCCAATTATAGGCTGTGCATTCCCTCCTGGCCCCCAAGATTCTAAACTGGACAGGTGCACCGTTCTAACCATGTGCCATCACTAAAATCACTGGTGACCCGCCTCCAGTTTTCCTTCAGAGGATTGGACCTGTATTTTAGGATCCCCAACCTTCACTGGTAAGGAGAACATTTGGCTTTAGGAAACAGGAAAAATCATAGAAAGCTAAGTCTTCTGGACAAGTGGCTAATCAGGCCAGCTGATTCCAATTGGATCACTCATCAAACACCTACTGGGTGTGTCTGCCAGGCCAGGCTGTGAGTGAGGCACTGAGGATGCAGCCGCATGCATGACCTCCTTCCTCTAAATGAGTGTGAAAGTCTTAAAGTTGCAGCAGCGTTTCTGGAACAAGCAAACCGCCTCCCCGGGGCACCCAGTTAGGATAGACAGCACTCATGACAATGCATGATCCTGGACACTTGTTGAAAACTACTCCCATCCTTTCTTCCCTGAAGATTTGATGATGACTCAAGGCTGTCACTTTAAGGAACTGCTACTCATTATCCAAAATCCTGAAGAGATTTTGGATCGGGTATAGAAAGATATTCACAAGAACCCAAATTTCACATCGATTTGTGATGGATTAGCATACTGAAATTGGTTTAAAGTGCACTTAATGGATGCATTACTGCAGGAGGGATCTGCCTAACCAGAGTATTTCTAAATTTATGAAATTGAAATGCACTTTGGGTTACTGAGCAGTCTAAATTTGTCAAAGTCACAGAGTGGGAGGCAGGTCGTTGCCAGTGGCAGAGGTGGCAGAAACCTGAAGCTAAGGCTGCCAAAATGAATTTAAGAGCCTACACAGTAACCTCCAGGGCCCTCTTGTGCCCATGCATAGCCCTTTCCAAAGGCAAAGCAGAACCTGGGTGCAGTGCTGTGAGCCTTAGTGTTTACTGAGTCCCATGGCATGGAGACACAGAGCAATATGAGTTGAGTTCATCTTCTCTGCCCCACTGCACATTCCTGATGTGTTTACCCCCATTAACTTGACTTCATTGATATTGTGAACATGAATGGTACAGGAGTGGCCTTTGGTTTCTTGCTAAATGTTTCTAAGCCTCAGTCTCCTGGCCTGAAAAGTGATCCAAGAAAGCTGTTGTGAAGGTCTAAAGTGGGAACATGGAAAGGTGCTTCAGAGTTCCTATCAAGATGAGGGGACTGAGTCTTCATCTTCCTTGTGTCTCCAACAGTCAGTCCAGCATGTGACACACAACAGATGTTCAGAGAGTGCCTCCTGAATGAATGAATGAGTGAATGTGATTTTAAGGATCATGAGCTGGGTGTGGTGGCACATGCCTATAATCCCAGTACTCGGGAGGCTGAGGCAGGAAGATCATTATGAGTTCAAGACCAGCCTGGGCTACATAGTGAGTTCCAGGTCAGTCTCAACTACATAGTGAGACCCTGTCTTAAAAAAACAGAGGGTCATGGTAAGTCCTCAGTCTGCCAGTTTTCTGATGCCCTTGCACTTCTTATAAAATCTTTATTCAAGGGCTGGGTAATTAGCTCAGTGGTTCTGCTGCCTGCCTCACAAGCACAAGGTCCCAAGTTCAATCCCCAGTACCCAAAACAATCGAACAAACAATAAAATCTTTATTCAAGTTGTTCTTTGTTCAGTGATTCAATTAGTTGATTAACAAGCATTTATGTGACTGTTACATACACAACTACTCTCAGTAATGATGATTTTGAGCTCTTATTTTGGCCCCCAAATTGGGCTTAGTACTTTTCAAATATTAATAATTTATTTCAACATCAGCCCATTGAGGTAGTCAGTCAGCTACTGCCATAATAATGCTGTGTAACAAAATCTTAACATTTGGTGGCTTGTAAAAAGCGTTTTTGCACCCCTGTTTATGTGTGTTGGTCAGTTGAAGTGGCTGAGACCAACTATAAGAGGGGATACTCAGCTCCATGAGTGCTCATTTAAGAACCTTGTTGGAAAGGGAGCTGCCACTCAGGACATATTTTTCTCATAATGGACCACCCAATTACAAGACAGCTAACCCTTGTGAGCACTTTTCAAGCCTCTGATCCAGTTACATTTCCTGAAGCCTCATTGTGTAAAAGCAAGCCCAAAGTCAAGGAATGGAGAATAATTCACATATGATGGAGGCTGTGATAAGAATTTAGAGGTGTCATATCACGGCTATGGTTTCAATGTGTCCCTCAAGGGTTCATGTGTCAAAATATAATCTCCAATGCAAGGTATGAAGAGGGTAAAAATTTAATTCAATGACAGTGTATGGAGATGGAGCTCTTGGGAAGTGATTTAAAATTAGAGGTCCATGGTTGAATGTGACTTTATAAAAAGAGAGAGAAAGAACAGGAAACACACATTCATGCTCTTGGCCTCTTGCCATGTGATGCCCTGAGCCACCTTGGGATTCTTCCAGCAAGACCATCACCACGTGTGGGTACTTGAGCCTCTAGGACTGTTTAGCTTCATTAACTCTTGAAAAAGTTAGCCAGCATTGAGTACTTTGTTATAGTTAGTGCAAAATATACTAATAAAACTACCAGGGGAAAATGAAGAGCTGAGCTCAATAGTTCAACGTAGCAGGTGCTACTGTAAGTCTCAAACTGGGGTATGGAAAGAAATGATTTCCCTAAGGTTGTTCAGCTAGTAGGAGACAGAAGTAGGGTTTGAGCCAGACAGCATAGTTTCACGGTAACAGAGGCCTACGTGCCTAAGTGTGCACATCTGTGGGAGGGGATGTTTGTTCTCTTAACTATCTGCTTTGTTTTCACCCATGAGGTGGCAATGTCCTGCCAGTCTCAGTCTCTCTCATGATTACACATTCATTCTCTCATTCACACGTGCCCCGTCTGCCCCGTCTTTGTGTGTTCTCCAAGCTGTCCAGAATAACAGGCCTAAGTGCAACTCTTGGATAGTTTTTGAAATCAATGTTGAAGGGAAAAATTACTCTCCAGTTAACCTTAGGCACATGTATAAATCCCTTTGTAAAGCCTCTGGTGACATTCATATCAAAGTGGCAGTGTGATTTTACCTAAAAACAATTTGCTGCATGTCTGCCGTGATTTCTGACACCTGAATTTGAAAGTCATCTGGGTGGGCCCAGTGCCATCTCCATAACAGGACATGTGTTACTTGGAAGGAAGAGAGGAAAGACAGCCATATGTGTGGCCAGGGAATAATGTTCCACACACCCTTATAGGAGGGGATTTCCTTCTTGCTGTTTCCATAGAACTTTCCCTGTGTTTGCTTAAACTCCTTGTACACTCTGGTCTGACAGCTGCCTGGCCCACAGCCTTCCTTGCAGACGCCTGCACAACTTACCCTCTTTAACAGCAACCTGCACTGTGTCTTCTGATGCAATTATTGGAGTATATAAAGCTTTACTGAAAGGCTAGCTTTTCTTGGGAGCTAATAAATAAGCCCCAAAGCCACAACATGTGTAAGACCTTGAAAAATGGCATCATCATCTATTGGGAATTGTGAACCCTACAGAAAGCAGCTCATTGTATTTTCAGAAAAAAAGGCTTTTGTTTAAAAATATAATAAAAAACAAAAATCACCAACTGGAGTCTATATGGAAAAAACAACCTACTCTAGGATTCTCACTGCCGCATCAATCTTTCCTTGCAGATTTTATGTAAGAGGCATTATTTGCAGGAAAACAGACAGGGTTTTAAAGAACTCCCCTCGTCCCGGGTTCCCATCTGCAGTTATAATCCTCTGATTGTGACCTCTGAATCAGCTGCCATGGATGCTGAGCAGAAGTTTATGACCTCAGGGTGGTAATAGCTTCTGGGGGTGAGGTGAAGCCTCAAGCAATAAAGGAAAAAGTGGGGAAAGGCACCTCCAGGAATCATCCTTTATCCATGCGCACTTCACAATGTAGAGGCCACTTTTCTGGTTGCTTTGAGAAACAGGGCACTGGATTCTGGCTACTGGAACATGGGCAAATCAAAGACTGCTGTCTTTTTAGTCCCTTAGACCTCAGTTCCCTGAGAGGCTGGGGCTTGGTGTTCCAAACACTCTCCTGAGCGTCTCCCAGAGTTTCAAGCGTCTTTTCTTTCATTAACGAATACCGGGGGAGTTGATTACTGGAGCCGGCTCCTTGTCCTGGGGCTGCCCAGGTGGTTCCGTGGAGCAGCTGCCTCCTCCAGGCCACTGCGGCAGGCGTATCGCAGTATCGTTTGCTTAGCAAGCAGTATCGCTTGCTTGCTCGGGGTCCCGCAGAATCTTACCTCCCTGAAGAAGCAAACACCCCGGGAAGAGGAACCAAGCCAGCCTTCGCAGGACACAAAAATACAACAGAGGGCGCCGAACCCACCAGCACCATGGCCTAGAATATCAATGTATGGGCTGGCTCCAGACCGCCAAGTTCCTTAAAAAATATCCTTGGCAGGGGGTTATTGCCAGACTCTCGGGGTTTCGGTTTGCTCCTTCGGCGCATCACACCGTGTTTATTTGGAAGGGGAGGGGGCGGAGACCAAACCCACCGCTTGGCGCACACGCCTTGATCTCACATTCCAGGCTAGAGCTGATGTGTGTCTACGCGACATGGGGAGGGGGGAGGGTTCTGTTCGGACGTTTCTTTCGCCATCTGCACGTCACTCCCAAACTTTTCCTCCCTGCGCTAGGGGAGTCAGGTTGACGCGCCCTGGATGCGGGGCTCGAGGCGCGGGGCTGGGAACGTTCCCGGGAGTCCGAGCTGCGGAGGCTTCGGGCTGCCACGGGCTTTTCAGGTACAAGTAGGGTACAAGGTACTGGGATGGGAGTGGCGAGGAGCGGCGGGCAAAGGTCTGGTTCCCCGCTCCAGCGCCCCTTTGCGGGTTCCGGTCGGGCAGCGC